TATGCACACACACACACACACACACACACACACACACACACACACACTCCCGCACGCACAATCACTCTCTTTTTTCCTTTTCTATTTCAGCCCTTTTCCAGAACACGTGATTGTCCAAAGAGCCCTTAGAAAAATTGGAGACATAAGCTACAATGCTTTGTTCGCAAATAGTGAGCATTTCGTCAATAACTGTCGTTACGGCATTGCACAAAGTGACCAGGTAGGCTATGGGCTGCTTGTTTCTGTAATCCTTTCAGACACCAGTTTGTAGTAATTTATCTATTTTGAAGATCTCTTCACTTCTTTTTCAGTATATTTTTTCCCGACCCCTCTTCCTTTTAATTCTCGCGAGGCTTGTAATTTTTTTTAAAGCTATTTTAGAATTACTTCTTAAAAAAGAGGACGGACACCATCCTCTAAAGATAATTTTTATAGCTATTGCTTTCACTTCCATGCTTCCATTGCAGTTTTTGTTTCTGTTTGTTGCCTTTGCTTGCATTTTGGTGTTTTATTCCTGATCCCGGTAAACATTGTTTAGTCCAGTTCGTTCGTCGAAGATCCCCATACATGCACACGCCAATGGATACAAGAGAGCAGACTGCACTGGATACAAGCCTTGCCTCGAGTTTTAGACTGGGGTTTTTTTTCTAGCGTAATTACGCATGGGGATATCTCAACTTTGGTTAGTTAACACAGTCAACTTTTGTTTAGTTACATAGAGTTACCCCTGTATAGTGTACATCTATGTTTAGTTAACACAATCGGCATAAGATGTAGCCGGTTTTTTCTTCTTGTTGTTGTTGTTTTGTTTTTTAACTTCTTTATACAAGAGCGCAATGGCAACAGACAAGCAAAATGCTGTCTGTGGACTACTACTTGTCTACTGTCCATTCTTTGGGTAATGAAGAGAAAGGACCCCCTCCCCCGAAAAAAAGATAAGAACGAAGGACTAACGGTAGGACTTTTAAAAAAAAATCCTAACAATGGCTTCTTGATGAACGAGACACCTCCCTCCACACCAAGGAGTCGCTGTTGTATCCACATGACTTTCACAACTCCCTAAACATCGCCCACTAGTAGTAGTCGGTTTGCTGATTCAGGTGGGCGATGGGATCACACGGGTACTGACTGCGGGTAGTGTTATTTTATGCCCCACTTGGAAGTACAGTGGAAACATGAATAGGGATGGTGGGACCAGAGAAAAAGTTCTGTTATATATCAGATCCCTGTTAAATCAGAAATGCAAGAGGAGTATGCATTTGTGGACTACTAATCCAGCTGTATTTATTCATGGGTAGTTTCCCTTCCACCTCAAGTACCCACGAACAGGGGTTTTGGCCATGAGGCAGGCCTGAGCATGACACATTACGTGTGCGTGTAGCTAGGGTTGGGGCTGGATCAAAGTCTGCAACACACCGCAGCCCCTTCTCGCTTCACCCGCTGCGTGTGCTTGCAGTGGAGTGGCTTGCGTGGGCTTTCTCCATCTCTCTCTCTCTCTCTCTC